TTAATATAAGTCTGTAGTGAAGGACCAAACCGGCGTCACTGAGGCCGGATGTTGTGTGAGGGACGAGAGCCAGGAAGGTTTTGTCCCCGTGCCAAACGCCCCCGCTCCTCTCGCTGCCCCTCTCCAGACAATCACATTTCGGATGCTGTGGTAAACGCAGCTCCAGCTCATTGCTCCCTCGGCCGGTTGGGAAGCAAATACAGCCCCCCAGAAATAATTGAGACCCAATGGCCCCGCTCCGGGAGAGCCCCAGAACGTAAAGCAGGGACCACAGCAACTCTGTACCTGTATTTTTGATATAAAGCTTTGTTTCTGTTCACATTTCTTAATACAGTTGGTTTGTGTCCTGTTTTCCAGCAGCCAGCATCTCTCTTTCTGGAGCCCCTCTCCTCTAATGTAGCACTGATGAAAAGGTTTAATAACCTTAAATAACCAGAAAACCTCACTGGATTCCTATGGACCTGCATTGATTACCCCCAAAATGTGCAGTTTCAGGCAGAGACCAGAGCAATGCTGCCCTCAAAAGGAAGATTTCTTTATTGAGCTGCAATGGGGAAATGTCCAACACGGAGCTGCCGTGCTCTGGGTTAAACAGCGGGGTCTGCAGCTCCCGTTAGGGCATGGAGCACACGCAGTTCATCTGGATAAATGAATTTATTGCTAACGCAATTACCCCTTTACCCGTTTATTCAGCCACATCACAGCACCGCTGCCTCCCCCATGAACACGGGCCCACCTCGTCCCGCAGTCACTGCCAAAGGCTCAGTGGTTTTCAACACCTGGCTCGTGACAAATCCAGCTGCGAAGGGCTCGGCTATGACAGGAGAAGGCCCTGCCTTGGCCGGGAGCTGCAGCGTTGCTGTTCTTTGTGCTCCCCACTTGCAAATTGCTTCCAGTGGCCCCCGTTTGTGGCCCAAGAGCCATTTCCCTGAGAACAAACCCAACCGCACCTCAGGCTCCCCCAGCAACACCTGGATGGGGATGGGCACCACCTCGCCCTGTCGAGGTCATGGCTGTGTGCAAAAAAAACCCCATGAATAATTGTGGGGATAAAAAATTAGGAGGGGAAAATGGGTGAAGGAATAAGAACAGCATCGAGATTTAAGTTATGAGCAGTTCTCCACTGGGGTCTGCTCCCCCCATGGCCTGGCTCTTCCCACACCCAGGGATGGAGTTGGCAGCATCGGGCTCTGGGCACAGCCACAGCCTCTTCACCTCCAGCCGAGTCCCCAGCTGCCTCCTGGAGCTGGTCCTGGTCATTAATACTGGCCAGGAGCGCTCAGATGCCAGCTCTCACATTAATTATCTGCTGCCATGGCCACTGCAAAGGCCGGTCCTGAATGACAACATCTACTGCCCGCAGCTGCTCAGAGAAACCAAAGTCCAGAAGAAAGGGGCTCCCGCTCCCTTCTTGCTGTGGGCTGAAGAGCCCCAAACTGGTGAGGGCAGAGGCAGCGCTCCCCGGCCACGCGTTTACACGTCGGTCTCGATGCGCAGCCGCTCCATGCGCCGCACGTTGCACTCCACGGCCGCGCGGTTGGTGATGGGGCGGGCGCAGGAGCTGGGGAACCAGCCCCTCTGGCCGTCCCGGAGCCGCTCGCCCCAGCACCAGCCTAGGAGGGGAACAGAGATGGTCACGGTGAGGGATCACTTGAAGTTTCCCCCCATTTCATTGAGATCCCTGAAGCTTTTCCCCTTATTTCACTGGGATCCCTGAAGCTTTCCCACCCGTTTTATAGGGATCCCTGAAGCTGTTCCCCCCATTTCATTGGGATCCCTGAAGCTGTTCCTCAGATTTCATTGGGATCCCTGAAGCTGTTCCCCCCATTTCATTGGGACCACTGAAATTTTCCCCTCATTTCACTAGGATCACTCAAGCTTCCCCCCCATTTCACTGAGATCACTCAAGCTTTCCCCCCATTTCATTGGGATCACTCAAGTTTTACCCCCCATTTCATTGAGATCACTGAAGTTGCTCCCCCCATTTCATTGGGATCCCCAGAGCTTTCTCCCCCATTTCATTGGGATCACTGAAATTCTCCCCTCATCTCATTGGGATCACTGAAATTTTTCCCCCCATCTCATTGGGATCACTGAAATTTTTCCCTCCATCTCATTGGTATCACTGAATTTTTCCCCCCATTTCACTGGGATGACTGAATTTTTCCTCCCATTTCACTGGGATGACTGAAATTTTCCTCCCATTTCACTGGGATGACTGAAGCTTTCTCCCCCATCTCATTGGGATCCCTGAAGCTGTTCCCCCCATTTCACTGGGATCCCTGAGGCTTTCATCCCCAGCTGCAGCTCCCCCATTGCCACCGCTCACCGTCCTCTTCGCCTAGCACCAGGACCACGTCCGCCTGCTGCAGGGACATCTCGTCCGCCTCCTTCGCCAGGTAGGCGCGGGTTATCTCCACCTGGCTCAGGTCTGCAGAGAACAGGGGGTGAAAACCAGTGCCTGCAATCGCTCAGGTTATAGCACCACCAGTAACCCCCAGTGTGCCAGTACCTCCTTTGGGAGTGGGGTCGGGCTTTTCCTTGTCTCGGTGCATCAGCGCCGCGATCCAGCGAGCCCGGTCGCTCCTGATGGAGGGAAAGATGTGTTATAGGGTCCGTTGAGGCAGCATCTGCAGTGCTGGCTGTAACTGGGAGCTTCCCAGCAGGAGAGAGGATTTTGGGGTGGTTCTGATACACGCAAGCCATACACATCCCCCAGCTGCTTTGCTTAGTTTCAATAGGGGAAGCATTGCATGGGAATGATATGGGAAAGCTAAAAGAGGAGGGAATGGCAAGGGGGGAAACCTGTGCAAGTGTTGGTGTCAACGTCAACATCAACATCATTGCCAATGAAACCTCCTTGGGAAGAGCAGCAGGAAGGCCAAGGATGCTTTGCAGAAGCCTTGGTGGATTTCCAGGGCACTATTTTACCCCAAAAGCAACAGCACACACTCCATGCAACCCCACCGGGCCACTCACAGCGTCTCTGCCGACAGCACCACCTCCTCCCGCCGCCCCTCGCTGTCCCTCTCCATCACCACCCGCAGCAGATGCCCGGTGGTCCCACGGGATGCGCTGCCGGTCTTGCCAGGAGGAGGGGAAGGCGGGTCAGTGCTCTCGATCTTCTCCACCCTGAGCTGGTCCAGTGTGGCGTAGTTCATCACGGTGTAGCTCTCCTCACTGTGGTAAAGATGGGACCGGTACCACAGCTGCCAAGCAGATGCTGCCGGGGGGGACTGAGCTGTAGCATCACAGCCCCATGGGTGACATTTGGTGGGCATCACCACAGGGGTGGTTGGAGGGCAGAGAGGTTCTCCTGCCCCTCTGCTCTGCCCTGCTCACACCACAGCTGCAATCTTGTGTCCAGTGCTGGGCCCTCAGCTCCAGAAGGACAGGAACTGCTTGAAAGAGTCCAGCAGGGCCACGAAGATGAGGTGCAGATACAGCACCCATGGTGAGACAGCGGCCTTGCCATGTTTCCTCACCATACCAGCACTATCACTTGGAGAAGTGAACACTGTGGAGCATCTCCTGCTGAGGAGCAGCTGAGGGAGCTGGGGCTCTTGAGCTTGGAGCAGAGGAGACTGAGGGGTGCCCTCATTCCTGGGGATCCATTGGGAAAGGGCAGTGTCAGGAGGAAGGAGCCAGGCTCTGCTCTGGGATGGCCAATGCCAGGACAAGGGGCAATGGTCCCAAGCTGGAGCACAGGAGGTTCAAGCTGAAGATGAGGACAAACTTTGTCAGTGTGAGGGTTATGGAGCATGGCCCAGGCTGCCCAGAGAGGTTGTGGAGTCTCCTTGTGTGGAGACACCCAAAGCCCTGGCCGTGTTCCTGTGTGACTGCTCTGGTGATCCTGCTCTGACAGGGGTTGCACTGGGGGGGCTCTCCAGGTCCCTTCCAACTCCTGACATCCTGGGATGCCCTTTCCAACAAGGGACATCTCAATAAAGGCCAAAATGGGAAATCTCAAGAGTTTGAGGCTTGGGAAATGGAGATTTTTATCCTCTTAGATGTTACGTAGGGAAAAGAAGGCTCTGCCCTGGCCTCACCTCTTCTTCTTGGTGATGATGAGGACGTCGTTGAACAGGAAGAGGTGGCAGAGCCTCCCGGCGCCGCGGCGGAAGATTCCGGCCTCCTCCGACAGCAGCAGCTGCAGCTCCCCCCGCTTCTGCAGCCAGCGTGACGCCGAGATCAGCGGGAACGGCTGAAATGGAGATGGGGAGAGCCCGAATTACTGCCTGCTGCACCACAGCGGGCAGAGGCACCTCTGGAAGCAGCGTTTGGGCTGGCAGGGGTCAGTCGGGATGGACACATCGCGCGTTGTTCAACGCCTTTTCCAGGAGCCTTCCCAGGGGTCAGGCAGGGACATGGAGCAGCCGTGGACCCCACTGCAGCCCCCCCAAATCCCAGCAGCGGGGTACGGTGTCAGGGCTCTGCTACAGCCCTCAGAAAGCCGCCCACATCTGAGAAACGCTCACCCTGGGCACGCAGAGGTGATGCTGTGCATGGCAGCAGCAATGCTGCAGCCGGTCCAGGACTCCTGGACCATCCCAAACCTGTGATGGACTCCCCCCATCAGCTCATCCCAAAAGATCCTCCCCTCCTCCAAGCCCTCACCTTCTTCTTCCCGAACTCCAGCTGTTTCTGCAGGGTGTACATCTGCTCCGTCCGCTCCATTGCGCGAGCGCCCTCGTTGCAGTTCTTCACCAGCTGAGAGACGAGAAACAGCCCCAGGGCAGCTGAGAAGGGCAGGATCAGAGCCCCCCATCCCCTGCCATGTCCTGATACCACGAGAGACCCACAGGAGAGACACAGCCCCTTTCTTCTATATCCAGAGAGGGACCAAAGTGAGACCTCACCAAAACCGAGGAGGAATGGGGAGAGGAAGAACGAATCACCTCGAGGGCAGCTCTCCACTAATGGAGAGAGAACAGCGGAGGGAAGGGCAAGAGGAAAGAAGAAAAGATGACGAGAAAATGGAAAAAAAACCAAAATCAGGTGAAAAAGGCGAGCAAGGGGGAAGAGGTGCGCATCCAGCAGCGATTTGGGGCAGAGAAACCTCAACAGGACCAACACAGGGAGGAAAAACCCGAGGCCAGAGTGGGGGCTCGAGGACAGCGAGGAGGGGAGGTGTGGAGCTGGGGCTCACCTTGCTGATGGCTTTCAGGGCTCTGGTGGCAGCCCCATACGCTGCTGTCCCCGCGGGGGTTTTTTGGCAGACTGTCTGCAAGGTGAAGACAAGGTGCTTTAGGGATGCCATGACACAGAGGTCTGCATCTCAGCCGCTTCCCGGGGATTTTGGGAGCCCACACGAGCCTGAGCCGTGTCCCAGCCCAGCAGCGGGACAGGACCATGGTTGGGGCAAGGATTAACGGTGCTGGGAGATGTCAGTGCGGTTCCTGCTGGGGCTTTCACATCAGGTGCCCGAGCATCACTGCCATCCCATACAGCAGGCTCAGCACCCCAGAAACGGGTGTAACACGGCCACCTCTTCAGATGCAGTGTGGGACTTACATCCAGCAGCAGAGGAAGCCGGGTCACCCTCTGCATCGGCAGGATGAGGAAGGAGATCATCGGCAGGCCGCCGCACTCGGGTTTCCTCTCGATCTGTTTCAAGGTCTCTTTAAATAAGGGGTTTGTGTTTCTGGAAGAGGAGAAGAAAGCTCTGTTGATGCTGCTCTTTGGTTCTCCAGGTTTCCCAGCATGGGAACCACAGCACAGCACCAGCACTGAGCTCAGAGCACACGGCTGGGGCGGAAAAGGGACCAAGCCAGGGGTGGAAAAGCACTTGGGGATGTTGAGCCCACCAAAAGATGGATAAAGCCATAGAAGTACCAACAGCAGACACAAACCTGGACCACCAGCACCACCTGGGGATGCTCCATACGTGTCCCTAACACACCCCATATGTGTTACTGGCCTTGGTGATACCTGTCCAACCTCAGCACGTGGTAGCATCACTCCTGCTTATCCCCATCCCTCGCCCTTCTCCCAGCACAATGCCAATCACGTTCTTATTACCCTCATCCAGGAGTCAAACTCTGCTCAGAAAAGTCCTTCCTTGGGGAAAAGGACATAACCACGTCCTTCCCTAACCGCACATCACGGTCTCATCTGCAGCCAACCGGCATCCCCTGGGTCCCTGGCACCCCAGAGTCCCCTGTAGCCACCCCGGAGCAGCACAGCACTCACAGCAGCCTCTGCAGGGTCCTCTGCTGGTAAACCTCGTTGGAGCAGTAGCTGACGTAGGGGTTGAAGCGGTTGGACGCGTGCTCCTCCACGATGTCGCTGATGTCGGGGATCAGGAGGTTTTCCTGGTGCCGCTTCTCCAGGTCCTCGAAGAAGCTGAGGAGAGGATTCCAAACGACTTCACTATGTGACTCGTCAGGGTCAGACAAACCCAGGAAATGGACGTTTAACCACGTTCCCACTGCAGCTTTTCCCCAGAGGAAACAAGGCCCTGGATCCTTTCCACGTGGGGTCAGCTCCGTGCGGCTGAGATCCTGGCTCGCAGCAGCTCCGGGAACGCAGCCCCACAGCTCCCACGCTTCCTCCATCCCCACAGGAGATCCCTCCTCTGCCTCTGCTCTCTGGGAAGATCCATTTCTGCCCCATCGGGGCCACTCACCACCCCCATAGCCCTCCCGTCCCACTGCATCCCCCATGGACATGGGGCACACTCTCAGGAGGGACAGTTGTGTTCACACAGCAAATAAACAGCGCTCTCGAATCCCTCCTGGGCCCCTGCCCCTGCCCGTGGCCCCCACTCGCCCCCCGTGGCCCCCACTTGCCCCGTGCTGACGGCCAGGACGTCGCCGATGTTGGAGAAGAGGTGGTGGTGCTCCGTCTGGGTCATGGTGTCCCTCAGCTCCTCCGACCTCATGAAGTGGCTCACCAGGACGCCCAGGCTGTGCATGTAGGAGTACTCGGAGGTGATGATCTCGAACATGGCCTGAGGAAAGCGGGGCAGCCAAGGGGGTCACAGCACGGAGTGACCGAACGCGGCAGGGAATTCAAACCTCCTGTGTCTTATTTACATTAGGGTGGCACAAAGTCACAGCACAGCATTCCCTGCACCATCTCCTGCACTGCCCGGGTGTTTCAGCACACACAGGCACTAAGAAAGCCACAGCCCTGAGCTCTTTTCCCTTCCCATAGCCATTTCCCATCCAAAGGAGTCCCCGTGCCTGGTTGTGCGGGTGAGCCCTCCCAGTGCCGCCCAGTCCCCGAGCTGCTGGAAACCACCAGCAGCACCAAAACCCCGTACACAGGGGCTGACCCCAGCCCTGCCCTGAGCCCCCCCTGTGTGACAGGGTCAGGACGCAGCCACGCATGGCCCCACTGCCTGAGCGCCCCGGGGCTGCGCTCACCTCCTGCCGCTTGCGCTCCTCGGGGGTGATCCTGAGCAGGATCCCCGCTTCCAGCACCTGCGGGAGAGACCGGGGATGAGCGGACACCTTCGCTGCCGGCACTAACAGATGGGCCTGGCACGGCCTCTAGTGCGGTCGGGGTCTGCCAGCCCCACACAACCCACCACAGTGCACAGCATCACCATCTCCCACCACAGCATCTCTCATGGCATCATCTCCCAGCACAGCACATCCTACAGCAGCGGCATCTCCTATGGCATCTGCCACTGCCACCCCACAGCAGCATCATCTCCTGCCATGGCAGCATCCTCCACCACTCCCTCATGGCAGCAGCATCTCCCGCCATGGCCCCACAGCAGCACCATCTCCAGCCACCGCACCCCCCCCTGCAGCA